CACTGAGGGGAATGTCTCTCTGAGATGTGCAGACACTGAGGGGAATGTCTCTCTGGGATGTGCGGGCACTGAGGGGAATGTCTCTCTAGAGGATGTGCGGGCACTGAGGGAAATGTCTCTCTGGGGGATATGCGGGCACTGAGGGGAATGTCTCTCTGGGGGATGTGCGGCACTGAGGGGAATGTCTCCATGTGGGATATGCGGGCACTGAGGGGAATGTCTCTCTGGGGGATGTGCGGGCACTAAGGGGAATGTCTCCATGTGGGATATGCGGGCACTGAGGAGAATGTCTCTCCTTGTTCCAATATTTCATTGATGGTGGGTTTTATTTTTGGTTTAGTGTCAGGAGGCTGAGTTACTGAAACACCTGGCAGAAAAGAGGGAACATGAACGGGATGTGATCCAGAAAGCTATCGAGGAGAACAATAATTTCATCAAGATGGCGAAGGAGAAACTCGAGCTGCGAAACGAGATCCAGAAAGAAAACCGTGAAGCTCACTTGGCCGCGATGCTGGATCGACTGCAGGAGAAGGTGAGACGTTCCAGTCCCATCGACCTGCCCAACCCCAGGGGGAGGAAGGGTTTCAGCAAAATACACCCCTGTCGTGGGGTGGTGGGGAGGTGGGGGTGGTTGGAATGATTGAGGCCATGAGGGCCATGTGTAAACTATGCAGACCATAAAACCAGAAGATGTTAGTGCAATGTGCCATTCAGGCTATTGAGACTGTTCTGCCATTCAATAAGATCATGGCTAATCCTCAAACAAAATAAAATCAAAGAACTGCAGATGCTGATATTTAGAAACAAAAGCAGATATTGCAAGGAAAGCTCAGCAGGCCTGGCAGCATCTGTGGAGAGAAAGCAGAACATTTTGGTTCCAGTGACTCTTCTTCAGAACTCTGCTGCATTTTTCCAGCAGTTTCTGATCATTCTCAACTCCACTTTCCTGCTTTTTCCCCATAACCTCAATTCCCTTCCTGACTAAAAATCTGTCTTCCTCAAACTTGAATATACCTTCTGACCTAGCCTCAACAGCCCTCTGCTGTAAAGAAATCCACAGACTCTCAGTCTTCTGATAGAAGAAATTCTTCCTTATCTCTGTCTTTAATGGGTGACCCTTATTCTGAGGTTATGCCCTCTGGACCCAGACTCTCCCACAAGGGGAAACAATTTCTCTGCATTGACCTTGTCAAGTCCCCTCAGAATCTTGTATGTTTCAATAAGGTCACCTCTCATTCTTCTATATTCTAATGAGTACAGGCCCAATCAATGCAACATCTCCTCATAAGACAGTCCCTCCATGCCAGGTATCAGCCCAGTGATCGTTGTGCAGACAGCCTCCAATGTCAGGACATCTTTCCTCAGATAAGGGGCCAAAATTGTCCATAGTATTCCAGTTGTGATCTGACTGGTGCTTTGTATAGTTTTAGCAAAACCTTCCTAATTTTATCCTCCATTTCTTTTGAAATAAAGGCCAACTTTGCATTTACCTTCCCTATTAAACATGGAGCTTGGTGTGAGCATTTTGAGATTCATGACGAGGATTCCCAAATCTCTCTGCAGTCTTCCACATTTCAATAATATTCAGCTCCTCTATACTTCCTGCCAAAGTATATGGTCTCACATTTCTTCACATTATATTCCATCTGCCAAGTTTTTGCCCTTTCACTTACCGAGTCAATATCCCTCTGCAGACTTTTTATTACTACATGCCTTCCTACCTATTTCTGCTATCGACAAACTTGGCGACAGTACAGTCACTTTCCTAATCCAAGTCATTACTATTTATTGTAAATATTTATGGCCCCAGCACTGATCCCCGTGATACTCCAACAGCTGTAGGTTGCCATCCTGAAAATATTTCCTTTATCCTCAGTCTTGGTCTTCTATTAGTTAGCCAATCCTCTATCCATACCCATACACTACCTTCAGCACTATGGGGCTGTTATGGAATAGCCTAATGTGTGGTATCTTATTGGTGGAGTGGGAGGGTTCTGCTGGGATGTGTGAAATCTGGGTTGAATATCGAAGGTTATCACTGGCCAGGTGACTGGGGAGCTTCCATTGGCAATGTCTACATAGACTACCAGATACAAATGAAAGAGGGTCCCACAAGAAAATACAACAGTCAATAAAGAATTGAGAGGGATCTTGGACAGCGATAAAGGGCAGGTACTGGCTAACCCTATACTTTCCCTGTCCTGGGAGAGTTTGATAGGGGACAATGTGGAGAGAGCTTTACTCTGTATCTAACCC